GCACAGACAAGAGGCACGTCCTATGGTGTACTGTATATCTCCATGGTCTCCGTTGGAATGATGGCGATCACACTATGCTGGACTTCCTACGGATTCTCCAGGGGATAAGACAGGATTACGTTAAGATCTACACCAAAGGTAGGGAGAAGACACTTAGGCCTGCCATGCCAGGACATGGAAGAATACGGGTGTCCCCCCTACCGACGTCTGGATTGCAGCGAGCAGATTATTTGCGACTACCATCGTTACCCGCACGAACATTGTTCGTATTGAAAAGTGTGCTCGTTGTACAATTGGGTAGTTACAAGCAATCGGGATGTGTTCCAGAACTTTTGGAACGATTTTTAAAAATAAATTTAAGATACTGTATACCTTGTTATATGTAGTGTTTTTAAATTGATAGTATGCTTAAAGTTTTATTTGCTTTACCTATATATTTCGTGAATATATTTCGATAATGTAAGCATGGGCTGATAAAGAGAGATGGAGACAGTGAGTTGGATGATGAATTTGTTACAAGTAACAAAATTTTCTAAGAAGGGAGGGATGAAGCAACTTGAAATTTTTGAGGAAATTTTACAAATTGCTTAAAGAGTTTTAGTATTTAAAATTATATATAATAAAAGCTTAAGGGTTTTTAATATAAGCAAGTAGGCAAAGATAGATATAAAAAGAAAGAGGCGACAAGAGGACGCCTGTGTTATGAAATAAACCTTGAGAATTAATAAACAGGAACTTGGTAATGTAAGAGGCATCGCCTAGAAGTAAGCAGCAAGACATGTGCATTACTCGAAATAAGTTTGAGATGCGAGTTTGGAAACCAGTGACCAAGGTCAGCAGCAGAGTTAGTAAGAACTGTTGTATAGAAACAGGATGTAGACACCAGTACATGTGACAGTTTGAAGTGCTAACTCGCCCTCTTAGCACTAGGAAGGCTGCAGAAAAGTTTAGATTTGGTGAATCATATCGGCACTTTGAGGTGGTATTAGTTACAGCACATGGGTATAGCAGTACAAGTGAATAGGCGGCCGGCTAACACCACTCATCTATGACCAATTATTTGAGAATTTTGGTTTAGGTTCTGGTTTAGCCCGGGAATTCCCCTAAAGTACCCAATAGGAGCACAGGACTACTTGTGGATGATGCTGTGTCCTATTTAGTGGGTCGAATCAACACCAGGAAAATAGAGTTTAAAAAACCATGTCAGAGGCTGAAAAATCGTTCTCCGCCGAAGTTCTCTCCAGGAAGAAAAGTTCTCCCAGACTGAAGAAAGTTCTCCAGGAAGAAGTTCTCCACACCAAAATGAAAGTAAAGTTCAACAACGTAGCCACAGCTTCTAAGACTCCAACTCTACTGTAAGTATAGTCTCTCTCTCTTGATCAGCTAGTGTAGAAAATAGTAATTTGATAAACTAATATTTTAAGTGTGTTTTCTAAGAATTACTTTATGTTAAGTAAACATTATTTTGAGTGTTTACTATTGGCCTGAGACTCATTTTCTTTAGTCTAACTGTAAACTCCTTGAGTTAGCGACTTGTGGCTCCACTCATCACGACAAATCCTCCAATAAATAAATTTGGTGTAAAAAGTAGTTTTAATTGAAGCTCCAACAACTATTTTGAGTGTTAATATAAGAACATCTTGAGTGCTACTTTTTACACAACTCATTACACATTGAACTCCCCAAACGTAGTAGCAGGACAGTGAAGAACTGTTTTCTTTTTGCATTTTCAATAAAAACGACATAAAACTTCAGATGTATGTAGAATAAATAAGCACCTAACTTTTACAAGGGTCTATAAATGTCACAGGTTACAAAACTGATTTTAAATTATAGTAACCAAAAAGAATATAAATCTACAACAGTATAATGGAATGGTGCACAGTGAAGTGTACTAAAGATATTGTTGAATGGGTTAGAGCTGCAGATCATAAAAGTGTTAAAAGAATGAATAAATAAATACCTTAAAAATAAGTAAATAATAATAATAGTATTATAAAGGCCAGGCATTATATCTGTTAATGGAAGTGTGTTTGGATTGAATCAAAGAGATTCTTTAAATTCTCTGTAAATAAAGTTGTCACAAATCTCTAAAATTGTTATCAGAAAAGGTGTCTCATTAATTATGCTGTGTGTGTGTGTTGATGTAATATTCAGCAGTGGCTTCTTTGTTGTCAAGATGTACAGTGGCACAAATGTGTTATTTGAAACCATCATGAATTGGATGATGGTTTCACCTATGGGAAAAAAAATGCTAAAGACATTTTGAAGAACTTTAAAACTACAATACCCATGCGACTTCTAGACAATCTTAGACCATCTCATTCCGAACTCCCTGAACTGTATGGATTATCCAAAGATCATAAACCAGACACACCTCTAAATGGACAATAGATTCACCTGTATATGTGGCTGAACACTGAGTGCATGTTATTTCATAGATGGTGTTCCAAAGTGTACAGGATTTCTCTTAGCCATTGGTTTTAGCAAAGCACTTTTGGGATTTACATGGACTATTGTTATTGAATGCTGAACAAGTAAATATATCCTTCAGTTTTTACCAGGTTTTTGTATGATGTGGATATTCAAACCAGATCTTCTAATCACTTGACAAAAACGAGTAGTTAAAGGTTTATCCACAAAGGACATATTCCATGAAACAATGTGTCAAAATTGTGGAATGTCTTTATAATATAACTATCTGGACAGCCATCAGACAGCAGTAGCTTTTGAAGTTTCACCCTGGCTAGCATCTTACCGTCCATGGTGTTGCAGATTTTTTAAATTCAATTAAGTTTACAAATAATAACACCCTGTTTGGTGGATGGTGTGAGTTATGGTGTAGAATAATGGGTTTGGAATATATGGTAGTAATAAGTTGTGGTTTTCAACAGTGACCATGGCATCAAGAAAGGGTATAAACTTCCAGACAGTATTGGTATGGGTAAGCATGAGCTCTATGTTGGGATGTTGATTATTAAGGAATTCAACAAATTCCAAAAGAAAAGGAAATCCATGACTCCATATACCAACATTTTTATCAATATATCTGCACCACCTAGCTGGTTCCAGAATAGTTTCAAAATTCCACTGAGTAAGAGCTGATGACTCAAAGAAATGCATAAAGATAGAGGCCAAAACAACAGCAATGTTGTTGCCCATAGCGATACCTTTAGTTTGCTTATCGAGAGCTGAATTTAAAGCAACTGTTGTTGAGAACAAATCTGAGAGAATTTTTGATGAGTTCTGTGGAGTATCATTAGTAGTACAAAGAATAGTCAATTTAACAAGATTCATAACTGAGCTTATACTTTCTTTTATGGGAATGGAAGGGTACATAGAGATGACATCAAGAGTAAATAGGATAGTGTTAGAATTCATCTGTAAGCTATCTTCGTGTAACCTGTTGAGAAAGTCGTCAGAGCTATTTAGCCATGAATGGATTTTGTTAGAGAGAGGGTGAAGTAGATTTTCGAGTAGCCAAGACAAAGACACTAATGGAAAGTTACATATGGAAACTATGGGTTTTAGAGGTGTGTCAGATTTATGATCTTTGGATATTACATACAGTTCAGGGCATTCGGAATGATATGGTCCAAGATTGTCTAGAAGTCGCATGGGTATTGTGGTTTTAAAGGTCTTCAAAATGTCTTTAGCATTTTTTTCCATAGGTGAATCCAGTCGTCCAATACATGACCATTTCAAAAGACACATTCATGCCACTGTAAATCTTGACAACAAAGTAGACACTGTTGAACATTACATAAATACACATGGCATAATTAATAAGATATCTTATCAGATCAAAATTTTAGAGATTTATAACAGCTTTCTTGACAGAAAATTTAAAGAATCTCTTTTGATTCAATTCAAATACCTTTCCATTAACAGATACAATACCTGGCCCCTATAATACTATCATTATTATTTACTTATTTTTTACTTTATGTATGTATTTGTTTTTTTTAAACATTTTATTTTGATTTGCAACTCTAACACATTCAACAATTTAGTACACTTCACCATGTACCATTCCATTATATTGTTGTAGTTTTATATTCTTTTCTGTTACTATAATTTGAAATCTGTTTTGTAACCTGTGACATTCATAAACCCTTGAAAAAGGTGTAAGCCGAAATGTCGGGTAGAATAAATAAACAATTTATCTGAAGTTGTTTGTC